GTGTATGTCTTACTTCCACGTCTCTGTATCTCTCTATACACTGTCTCCTCTCTCTGGCCACTCATTTAATCTCCCTGCTCCTTTCTGTCTGTTTCCCCTTTCCAGTTTTCCCTTATCACAGTAACACATCCCTGGCCTAAAATACCTCCCAGGCTCACCTGCAGCCAAAGCTTTTTTAAAAACTGACTTCCCCACACCTGCCAGGCCTGCCACAGCGACAAGCCCCCTTATTTATTGACACACACACACACACACACACACATTCAAACAAACTTGCATGATCGCAGGGGCCCAGTACAGTCGCTGTGACATACACACAAATGAGTGCAGGAAGCTGGATTGGCATCAATAAAACTGTGCCCGCTTTTACCAGTGTCTGATCACAGATCCAGATCTGAGCAGAGCACACACACAATCAGCTGGCTTCCCAGCAGCTCAGAAATGGGACTTCAAGCCTTTTAACTATAACGGGCAACATGAAGTTCAAAACGAATGTCGTCATCTCATGGAGCATCACCTCAAAACCTGATTAGTTGAGATTATTCTATATAAAATGATTCTGATGATTCCATTACAGGGACAGTTTAAACAGGAATAAAGATTCTGTCATCCTTTACTCAGTGTAAAAGTGTCAGTTTATGAAAACAAAGGATTATTGTTAAACCTGGGTTAACTATGATCAGCGTGAAATGTTAAGATTAAAAAACGCCATAAAATATTTTTTAATGCAATGAATAAAATGTATGTATACCTGTTAAAGTATCTGTATATATGTATGTATACTTGTTAGAATGCATTAAGGTGAAAGAAATAGTGTTTTTGCATAAGTAATGACCTGTTTGGACTATTTGTGTAGGAGGAGGAAGCCGCATGCTAGAAATGGACCGACAAGGAGTGACAGCTTTCTTATAAATAATCCAACTCACAAGTGTTTAACCTCACAATCAGCACAGACTTATATATAGAGTCTGGCACCAAGATTATCAGTCAAATGGCTTACATTTTGTTCTGTTCCTCACACAAACACAACATACAATTTTAGAAGTTTTGGAATATAATGCATGAGTCCTGTGGGCAACTTTTTTTATGGTGTTTTTTGTCCTGTTTGGAACTTGACAACCCCTGGTGACTATGAACTGTCACTGTATGACAACACGACATGCTGGTGGGTAAACAATGACAGAATTAAAAATTTTTGAGTGAACTATTCCTTTAATTTATAAATGCATCATGTGCTGTTTCTGGTGATGTGAAGATGCCCTCAGGCGAACAATGATAGTCCGAATCTTTATCAGTGAAGAAACGGGCTCTCAGAGAGATGAGTGCTGTCTCATGGGACTTCTGCGTGTGGCATGCACCACACGGTGTGCCAGCGTAAATCAGGCTCTTTTCTCTCGCAGCCTGTCTGATTAGCGTCTCGCACGCACACGAGTGCGAGAGGCTGCACAGACTTTGATGGGGCTGATCCAGCATTGACTCACGTCGCCTATACAGCACAGACACTTGTTTTTGGCCTTTTGTGGAGGTTTTTTTTCTTCCACTGGAGCAGATCTCCTCACGACACCTGGCAGAATGAGTAACCTGCTCCTCCTACACCAGGAACATCATCTGCTCTATGAGGCGTCTTCTGATCTCTTCCCACCTTCTATGAACCCATGCCCACACACACATACACACTTTTCCCTGCTGAAAAGACCAGTGCAGATGGTTACCAGCATGCATTGTGTTTTGGATGCAGGTCACCACTATTGTGCTGCCATTCCCAAACTGCACCCAAATTTGCAGAAATATAACACCAGCCATTCAAATCACTCCCTCAGTAGTGTGTATCAGTTCTGCATCTGAAAGACTTTGAATTTCAGTGCAGACTGGCATGTAGTTGATGTCCTGCTGTTCTTTGACGAGGGAGCGGTGCATGGTTGATGGGGAAAAAGTCTCCAGCACAACAAGTGTTTGAGGATTCAACTTCAGAGCGGCCACCGTGTCATTGCTCAGACTTTAAAACGCTCTGTCACTTCTGTCAAGCAAATGCACGCACTTCCACTTAGATGTCGCTTGTGATTCGGTGCACTTGAGGCAAAATCGAGGAGAGCTATTTGCATTGGGATTTAAGGATTTGGCACAACAGGAAGTCAAACACAGACACACACACACATTACTGCATGCTCAAGGTCACGCACTTCAGTAAAAGACGAGATGCCTACTGGACAGGAATAAATTACATTTTTAAATATATTAAAAACCGAAGAGAGTTATTTTTTTCAAACTTGTATATATTCAACAGTTTAAAAAGTTACTTTTTAAATGTTTTTTATTGTTATATGCCATATTTTTAATCTAAATTTTAATTTATTCAATTCTGTGGATCAACTAGTTAGCCTCTGCTGATGTTGGAATTACACCATCTGGATCCTGCCGTAAAAAGTAACAATTAGGGACCAAAAAAGGAGATAAACAGATTATGTTCTATAGTATAACCAATGGCCGATGTAAAGCAGAAATACAGTGGGTACGGAAAGTATTCAGACCCCGTTAAATTTTTCACTCTTTGCAGCCATTTGCTAAAATCATTTAAGTTAATTTTTTTTCCTCATTAATGTACACTTAAGGGGGTCTGAATACTTTCCGTACCCACTGTATATCACACAATTTAAAAATAGTAAATAACACACAAATAATATTAATGCAATAAAATTATTTTAAAAATATAAATATATTTTAAATATATTTTGCACAATTTACTAAATTAATGTAATATAATACATTTTAAAAGTAATCAATTTGAAAAACTATTTGAACTTAAAAATAATTATAATACTTCTTTTGCATACATTTTAAATTATTACATTTGAGAAAATTATTTGAATTTGATAATAAAAAAGAAAAACGTGTAAAAAAGAGATTTAATTTAGACGTCAAAATATAGATGTTCATGAAGGTAATTGGCCAAACAAAGTTCACTTAAAAAAAAATATATCAACCATTTTGATATCATTTTGATAAAAATAAAGATTTACTTTATTTTTAAAACACTAGGCATCATAAATGTGCCAACTTTGTAAATAGTTAAAAGAAAAACTGAGAATCATACATTCAATGACCAAGGATCATACTCTACCAGACTTTCAAGTCTTTCCGAACACAACAAACTCACACAGAAACACATGCCTTGTTTCTAGGAGACGTGTGGCAAATGAAAACAATATGTGTTCTAAAATCGGCTCCATATATTAAACATGTTTGATATTTTGATCTAGATGGAATCTGTGAGCATCATACACATCATTCTATGAAATCTGTCAGCTCAAATCTGCAGACTGGCTTTGACATTCAGCAACTAGCGTCAACTTGTCCAGACTGTAAATCGGGCTAAAGATCTGGGCAAAAGTCGTGTAGTGAATTTCAGCCTGTATGTTAAAATAAAAGTTTCCGACACTAATCAGGCAAACTCATACTTCTTTTGCATACTATTTACAAAAATTATTTGAAAATAATTTTAAATTATTACATTTGAGAAAATTATTTGAATTTGATAATAAAAAAGAAAAACGTGTAAAAAAGAGATTTAATTTAGACGTCAAAATATAGATGTTCATGAAGGTAATTGGCCAAACAAAGTTCACTTAAAAAAAAATATATCAACCATTTTGATATCATTTTGATAAAAATAAAGATTTACTTTATTTTTAAAACACTAGGCATCATAAATGTGCCAACTTTGTAAATAGTTAAAAGAAAAACTGAGAATCATACATTCAATGACCAAGGATCATACTCTACCAGACTTTCAAGTCTTTCCGAACACAACAAACTCACACAGAAACACATGCCTTGTTTCTAGGAGACGTGTGGCAAATGAAAACAATATGTGTTCTAAAATCGGCTCCATATATTAAACATGTTTGATATTTTGATCTAGATGGAATCTGTGAGCATCATACACATCATTCTATGAAATCTGTCAGCTCAAATCTGCAGACTGGCTTTGACATTCAGCAACTAGCGTCAACTTGTCCAGACTGTAAATCGGGCTAAAGATCTGGGCAAAAGTCGTGTAGTGAATTTCAGCCTGTATGTTAAAATAAAAGTTTCCGACACTAATCAGGCAAACTCATAGTCCAATTATAAAACAAAAAAGCAACCAATTTATTAGTCATGGGGATATACCATGATAAATAGGTGTAGACTCATTTGCAAAATTTGCCATACATTGTGATGTTTGAAATAAAGAGCTGTCATACTGTAAACCTATGAAGGAGGAAGAAGACCTGAGAAAAATAGAATATAAGGCGTAGTCCATCAAAATAGCATGCAATTAATAAAGCCCCCTAAGATGATATGATTATGCAGGGGGTTTTACATGATATTTGCATCCAGGTCGTGCTGTGAGGCTTAAAGGGGTCATATGATATTGCTAAAAAGAACATTATTTTGTGTATTTGGTGTAACGAAATGTGTTTATGCAGTTTAAGGTTAAAAAAAAAATTTCCACATACTGTACATTATTGTTTCTCCTCTATGCCCCGCCTTTCTGAAACGCGTAGATTTTTACAAAGCTCATTGGTCTGAAAAGCAAGGTGTGCTGTGATTGGCCAGCTATCCAGTGCGTTGTGATTGGCCGAATACCTCAAGCATGTGACGGAAATGTTATGCCCCTACCATACTGTGATGATGCCCTGTCCGGCCGGAGTGATGATTCAATAACACGAAAACCCATTATAAACGAGGCATTCGTTGCATCCAGTGGGGACATAATTATGGATTATAATGACTTCTACTCTCTTTTTACGAGTGGCGTTACATCGCGCCGCGTAAACATAAAACCATGTCTGTATTTGTGATCGGAGAAATGACAAACAACAAGCCCTACTCTACACTGCCCAAAAAACTCGCTTTAAATATAAAAAGTATAAAATATAAAAACTCTTTAAATATAAAAAACGTACTTACAGTCCGTGAGTCAGAACAGCCGGCATTGTAGTCTACTCTACCAGGATCAGGAGTGGAGCACAAGAACAGCGACTGTACGCTGCGCAACAGAAAAGCTCACCCCTACAAGAAGCATTACACTGCTGAGGTAAAACACGCACACACACACACTCACGCACGCACACACACACGATCAGTGCTTCTGTAGGAGCACAAACACAGCCTCCTTCACTTCTCGTTTGGTCTCAGGAGACGCTGAAGTCGGGCACCAGCTGCAGCTCGCGGACGCAGGACTCTGAGAGCGCGCGGCACGAGTCCGAGACGGAGGATGTTCTGTGGGAGGACTTCCTGCACTGCGCCGAGTGCCGCTCCTCCTGCAGCAGCGAAACAGACGCCGACGGATCCGCAGCCTGTTCTGCCTCTAAGAAAGAGTTCAGAGACGACCCGTTTCATCAGGTGCGTCGTAGATCCACTGCTGCTGCCTCACTGGTTCAGATTTGTTGTGCTCGTGTAAATGATGTTTGTGTGTGTGTGTGTGTGTCGCTCTGCTGCTGGTGAAGGGTCACGTGCCGTGGCTCCACAGCTCTAATCCGGGCCTGGAGCGCGTCAGCGCCATCGTGTGGGAAGGAAACGAATGCAAAAAAGCAGACATGTCTGTGCTGGAAATCAGCGGCATGATAATGAACAGGGTGAGTGCGAAGCAGAGGAAGGAAGGCAGTGAACTGATAGAAATGCATTGAACGTCTCTGGATAGAAGCTTGTGCTAAATCATGATTACATGAAGCCCTGATCTCGTCCTCCTCTCGCCCGCAGGTCAATCTGTACACTCCAGGCATCGGCTATCAGATCTTGGGGAATCTGGTGTCTGTGACGCTGGGTTTGACTCCATTTGCGTACAGATTGTTCCAGCACAAAGAGCCGGAGCAGCTGGCGTCTCTATCGGCCGGTGAGCTGGTGTCTGTGGCCTTCGGCTCGTCCGCTGACGCTCTGGTGATGGCGATGGTGAGCGTGAGCTTCGTGGTGCGCGTCTGTCTCATCTGGCTCTTCTTCTTCTTGCTCAGCGTCGCTGAGAGGACATACAAGCAGGTGAGTGTGTGGAGGGCTAGAGTGAGCAGAGGCGGCGGGCTTGAGAACGGCGCGTCCGGAGGGCTTGTAGCAACCACATGTGATGACCCCGGGCTGGACTCCGCTTCGTCCATGGTGAAAGCCGATCCGGTGATCCACAGCGCAAAGTTGTTGTATTTCCTCAGCAACCAGCACGGATCAGCTCCAGGCATGACGAAGCAGATATCGTCCTCTTTTGGAAGGCCAAACAAAGTAGTTTCGCTTTCACAATGAAACACACAGCGCCTTCACGACATGACGGCGGCAACAACAATACTACAGCGAGAATAAAAGTTACGCCTTCTTTCTTTGCGTGAACATTTGGGCGGCGTTATGCAAATCTTCCCACATCGTGACGTAGATATGTGGGGGCGTGTTAGAACGAGCCGTTTTAGGTAGGCGTGGCTGACTCTTAACTTTATAAAGAATATCTCTTTGGATTTGAGACTTTAGTCTTCGCAACTTTACAGATCTTCTTTATGCACCAAGAGCTTGTAACACTCCAAAGAGAAAGGAAAAATTTAAATCGCATCATATGTCCCCTTTAATGCATTGTAGAAGTGCTTTAGCTCACATCATGAGAATGGGCGCACAGCATCATGGGATTAAAAGAGGGTTAACCCTTTCACTGGTGAGTTTAAAATATTCTAGCGGTCCCCCCAGAGTTAGTTTTTTTAGGCGACCGTTATTTTAGAACGTTTCCCCTTATTGTTTCCATGGCGACTCGTCATGCTTGTCACGTGACACACTGCGGCCACAATAACACTGTATGAAAGATGGATCGCTTTTATTTTGTTTTTCCTTTTTTATTCAAAATATTCATAAACTTGCTTACCATATCATCAATTATCTGATATTCCAATTCACAAATACGTGTAAATGATATATGTGTTTTGTCGTTTAAAAACCGCTCGAAATGATCTTAATCATGATCTGTAACGTGACATGGGTGCTGCCATGTTTGTTCGCGCTGCAGTTGAGAGTCCTGTCGGATTTACCGCACGTAAATTCATCAATTTCTCCTGAAATACATGCAAGTAAGTGGCCGGTGAACTGGGAGAAGAATAGAGTGAACTTTATAGTTAAAGATACACTATGTGTATCTGATATTAATAAAACGCGTCGGAAAATTGTTTGAATTGACTGTTATTGCTGCTTCCATAAACATCTGTGTGTATTTTACGAACTCTAAATGTATTATTTTACTAGTACTTATGTGTATTTAAATGTCTGAAACCTAAAATAAACATTATGTGGTTAAGAACACTGCATAGTTGTGATTATATGACAAGTGCAGCGGCGTCTCAGCGTCAGCCAAAGCGTGAAAATGCAGTTTGAATTTGGCAGTTATGTGACGTCACAGAACATTCTAAATCCCATATTAGGGATGGGCGATACCATTTATTTTGTTTTCGATACGATATCGATATTTTTCAAGGCAGTATCATCGATACCGATTCGATACTTCTGAACTAAACTTTTAAATTATGAAATTTATTAAATTACTAAGAGTAAAATGGGTAATGATAAGCACTTAACTTAGTTTAAAACGCATTTTAACATTCAATACGCCTTAATTGTAACTTATTAGGTTATATTTTTGTTTACACATGGTTCAAATATGTTTTTTGTTTACACATGATTCAAATCTATAAATACTACAGTTAAACTACAGTCACTTTAGTAAAACCATGGTTCATTTTCATAAGGGACTGCCAGTAACAGGCTGTTACATGCATAAAATGCAACCTTTTTATTCTGACAGTGTAGGATTTCTATTAACATTACAGAATAGCACATGATCAATATTATCTTTCAACATTAAATTTAAATAGCTGTTATTGCACAAGCTATGATATTATATAATGATGATATGATAATAACTCTGTCCTTCTGTCCTCTGATAAGCATTGTTCAGGGCTGCCGTTCCCAAAAGCTTTAGCTTGCTTTCTTATGATACTTTTGGGAAACGCAGCCCTGTTTGAATGCACTGTCAGCAGTCTGTGATG